TTGTCGGTGTCAGCTGTGAGGGCTTTCCGCGCGGTTTGGCTTTATGAAGCAGCCACGCAAACGGTTACCTAATGACGCAAACGATGACGCAATGACGCAGCCCCAGTCGGACTCTAGGCGGTGTGAAAAGAGCCGGAGCTAAACCGAAGAACCGGTTCTGAACCTGAAAAGCTCTAGAACGGAGCTTGAACCGGAGTTGCGTTGGTGTGAATGAGGTATGAGAGTCTATATACAAGTGATTGGAATATGATATATTTGACAAATAATTTCTAATTAGCAGCCAGAGGAATGTTGTGGATGTTGTTTCAAAGTACAGGTGTTTAATAGTTCCTCTGGCTGCTAATTAGAAATTATTTGTCAAATATATCATATTCCAATCACTTGTATATNTATATATATATATATATATTATATATATATATATATATAGAGCAGCGAGTGTATTGCAATTATGTTAATTCTATTGATATGTATATTGCACATAGTGTTGGTGTGGAAGTTCTCAGTGCCCTTTACTTAGGGGTGAAGAGTTAAAGCGTGCGTTTGCCACTGGGAGGAAAGACCTCCTGTGGCGCTGTGTGGTGGTTATCGGTGATCTCAGTCTGTGGCTGAAAGTGCTCTGGTAGGAAACCAGTGTGGTATGCAGGGGGTGAGACCCGTTGTCCAGAATGTTGAGAAGTTTCCTCAGCATTCTCCCTTTCGACACCACTGCCAACGACTCTTGATCCACTCCCAGGACAGAGCCTGCTCTCCTGATGAGCTTTTTGAGTCTGATGGCATCAGCTGTCTTCACCCCGCTGCCCCAACACACTACAGCAAAGAAGATCACACTGGAGACCACCGAGTCATAAAACATCTGCAACATAGTGCTGCAGACGTTGAAGGACCTGAGTCTCCTGAGGAAATACAGGTGACTCTGGCCTTTCTTATATAGGGCGTCAGTGTTTTTACTCCAGTCCAGTTTATTGTCTATGTGGACGCCCAGGAACTTGTAGCTGTCCACAATGTTCACATCCATGCCCACGATAGTAATTGGGCTTGGGGCGGTACTCCGCTTCCTGAAGTCAACCACTAGCTCCTTCGTTTTTGTGACGTTGAGCTGCAGATGGTTCTGACCGCACCACTCCACAAAACTGTCAACCACACTCCTGTACTCAGCTTCCTGATCTCTGATGATACAGCCCACAATGGCAGAGTCATCTGAGAATTTCTGCAGATGGCAGGACTGTGAGCAGTGTCTGAAGTCTGATGTATAGACTGTGAACTGTGTTTCTCAATACTCAAATTTCCCCTCCTCGTCTCCTCGACTCCTCGGTCCTCTGGTAGTGACCCGGAAATGAATTTCAGCGCGCCATTTTGAAGGACATCTCATTTCTCTAAATGCACTTCGAGGACCGAGCATCGAGCATCGAGGAGGCTCTCTGGAGGAGCTTTAACCGAGGAGACACTGATGCATCCTCCACGGCTCCTCCATGGATGCATTTCCGGGAACGGTGGAGGCGTGACGCACGGCCGGACTTATCTCAGCCAATGAAAGCTCTGCATGCATCCCTTGGATATTATTTTAGTAACTGTCTGCTTTCATCGTGACACGATGTTTACAGTGAGAACAGCTGTGAGGTCGGTGCAGAAAGCAGAGCAGTGTGTAAAATATATATCACTCAGTATAACTGGCCTACATTACTTTCTGTATATGTATGCTGTAGTGTAGTAGATATCTACAAACAAAGAGTCGATATTTTTCTAAGACCATTTAGTGCTTCACATAATAAAATACACAACGGCTGTAGCCTGATTATGCTTTAGGAGCAGTAGGTGTGTATAGGTGTGTGTGTGGTACAGTGTGTATGTGTGTGTTGAACAGTCTTCCGCTCGCATCTCCTGTGGGCGGCACCAAGTCTCGAGGAGTCGAGGATAGGAGTCGAGGAGGGGAAATTTGAGTATTGAGAAACCTCTATAGTGTTGGAGCGCTATCCAATAGAAGCGCAAGTGTTACATAGTGATGTAAGTGGGGAGTGTGGGAAACTATTTACACGCACAAAAACCTATAGAACACACTACAGGAAAGGGAAAACCCCAATAAAACATTATAGTTACCCTTTAAGCAGAATTACAGCTAATCCACGATGATGATGGGACGGAGTGGGTTTTTGGTTTATACATTTTCATTTGTATTTTTGAGTGATTTCCTATGGATTAGCTTTGGAAAAGGATTTGCCACTTGTATTGTTTTTTTTTTAAACTGAATCATGTGATCATAAATACAGTACTTTTCTAAAACCAATTCTTCAATATAAACAACAACATTTTATGTTTTCTAATCCAATTATCTCTCCTGTTTTAGAAATCAAAGAAGAGCAAATCAGCTGAAACAGTGGCCATACCATCAGAGTCAAAAGGTTTGTGTGAAGCCTGGAGGAGCCATCATGTTAAAGCAAATCTGTTAAGCATTTACATAAACAAAACCAAGCCGCATCAAAACTCGACTCCTCTATTTGGATAAGGCTTTGCATGGGTGGAGTTGGCTGGGTTAATCAAACACATAACTCACCTGACATTGCAGTACATACCACTGGATTAAACATGTACATACTGTGTGAGAATGACTGCACAATGTTACACCATAATGATAATAAATCTAAATCATATTTTGTAATCATCTACTATCTTCAGTCTATAGGTATTACAGGTTTTTGGAGACTTTCTTGTGATGAGTCGATGTGGTTTTACAGGAAGTCAGTGTTCAAACCTGGTTCAAACACATGGTGTGGTCTCCTGTTTTGTTCTCCAGAACTGCACAGGGCTCACCTCAAACATTTGATGTTTATATGTGTGACTCAAATCAGAAGTTTCAATGGAACAAAAGAAAAAGTACAGCTATGTTCTCTCCCTGCTTATTTTAGATTGCAGTAAAAAAACGCTCATCATTACAAGCTATGTTCTCCACGTAGATACATGGGCTCATGCAATAAATAAATGAAAAAACGTTTCATAATTTGTTCGTTTTTATTTATTATATATATAACTGACTAGGATTTTCCTCAATCAAAGTTGGCTTATTTGAATGAAAAATGCAATGCAGTTCTGTGTCTTAATGATTGTGTCTGACTCTTGTTTCTCACCGCAGACGACACCAAAGGTCCTGAAGTGGATGGAACAGAGAGCTCTCTACAAACTGATGCTGAAAGCAGCCAGTCAGGTAGAAACTCACAGGATTCTTTGATAAATACTTCACACAGACAACGTGTATTCAGTCCTTCTGAAGGAGAACCGTTTAACACATTAGGTTTCTTGTCAGAATTGTTGCCAGATGAATACAATAGACGGATAATATTGTAGTTTGTTTAATGAGCTGGCCATCAGGTTATGTCTTCAAAAAGTACTTTAAACACTAAAGAACATTTAATAAAACATGAGCTAGGTGTCAGAAAAACAAACAAAAAGGCTTACTTTTACTGGAGGTGAGTTTGAACTAAGAAACTATAGGTTACTTACGTAACCCCAGTTCTCAGAGTAACATGAAGTGAGATGTCTCACTATGGGATGCGCCTCAACGCGTATGCACCAGAAGCATCAATCTCATTACGCCAATCCTGATTGGCTGGTGATCTTGACGCCAACGTCAGGGAATCCACCAACCCTATAAGTAGCTTGCGCCACGACGCAGGCGTCATTCAAAATAAGCACCTCTTCTCGCTTCGCCTCAGCAAGAAGGGCCGTCAGGTGAGACATCTCACTTCATGTTACTCTGAGAACTGGGGTTACGTAAGTAACCTATAGTTNTAACAAGGATAATCTGGTGTTTTTTAGTCGATGAGTAGTGCAGATATCACAGTAAAATCAATCAACAGTAAGGGGAATACTTACTTCCGGGTGTACAATTCTCCGTTATCCAATGGGAATGGACGCTCACATTGCCTTTAAGGGCAGCCGACACAAACGAATGCCGTGCTTCCATGAGCGTCAAATCCCGCCGCAGATGGGAATACATTGCAATCAGTTGAAAGCTATTTGCGTCCCTTTATGAAGCTGAAGGAGCCTAGGAGCGTCACAACTGCATGCCACGGGACCCTGACCAAACGTCGCTCCTGGACGATTATGGAGTGAGAGTGTGTTGACCAATCACAGAGCTTGAGGACTAATCACGGGATTTGTCGAGCAAAGCGCAATTCTCCGTTATCCAAATGGATGCGGTGCTTCCCTAAGCGTCAAATACCGCCGCCGATGGGAATACATTGCAATCAGTTGAAAGCTCTTTGCGTCCGTTTATGAAGCTCAAGGAGACTCGGCACGTCACAACTGTACGCCAAAGGACCCTGACCAAGCATCGCTCCTGGACGTTCAGGGAGTGAGACTGTGTTGGATATACAGACAAAGTTTGGCTGTATATCTAATTGATGAATTAAAAGTTCCTGTGGGATAAAGACCAATAAAGAATATCACCAACCTTATCCTAATTCCTTTTTTTCTAAATCAAAACTATAAACATGGCTAGACACCAGAGACAAGTATGAAAATAGGTGTTTTGTATTTTGTGAACTGACCCGTAACTCTTTGTGGAGTGGTACACATTTAAACTAGACAGTGTGTGTTGCCTCAGCACATTTACATGGGACTGGCTGTCCTGACATGTGATACATTGAAAGAATAGCACAAGCAGGCTCAATAATTGCGGAGATAAATGTTGCTGTCATCTGTCAAGAGGATAATGTGTTAAAAATTAAACTTCTGCTCATCTGTGCTGTTCGTCATCTCATCAACACGCCGGGGTGCTACGGTGACCGTGTCCCAGGCAGACAGACGCTTTGTCAAGACTTTTAATTAGTAATGGGGGGTCTCCAGGGGATGGGTCTCATGTACGGGGAAGCGTGTGTGTTGTCTGCGAATATAAGCATGTATGAAAATAATCTTCCTTTTCTGAAAATGTTGTGCGCTGATTGCGGAAAAACAGTATTTCACGAGTTTAAAGTATCCTTCCCGCACACGGGTTATTATCAAAAACACACACACATCTTGTCTGCCATTTGAGAGATACGGAAGCCGCCAGCAGTGACACACGCGCTCGCATTATTATTATTTCTGATGCATTTAATATCCTCGGTTTAAGCTTTGAAGACAATCTTTGGGGAATATTGAATCTAACCATTCTCTTTTGCCCCCGATTCCTCTCTGAGACAAAACTTTGTTAATTAGCCCCATACCTATAGGCAGAGTTTTCATTTTCTCAGTTTTCCCTGATATTATTAAAGCTGCTGCTGACTCTTCCCACCCTCCTTCCTCCTCCTCCTCTGTTGTCTTGTTATCCGAAGTTGCCACTGGCGCTTTTTCATGCAAATTTGGGCCAAGTGTTTTTGCAGCATCCTCCCATACCGTTAATGGCTGTGGCCCAGGGTTGGCCCTCCATGCCGTTGATGCAAAGTCTTTGACTGTTTCTGAGTGTCTCCTTAAGGCCCTCTTTGCCCGGTCCACACCAGCGCTGTCTTTTCTGGACTTATCTCAGCACCCTTGTTCTTGAGTAGTTCAAAGTCTTCACAAATCCAGCTGTCAAACTAAAGTTAGGCCTGGGACCTTTTAGAATGTCTTTTGGAAATCAATAAGACTTCCCGAGCCTCCTTTTTCTTTAGTCCATGTTCTTTAAAAGTTAACACAAAGCCCTTCACAGTCTAGCTTCATTTGATGGTACTTTTTTTCTTACAATATATTTTCCTTTCAGTTTCTTAGTCAAATGAGCAAAAATGCTGTTGAAAGATAATTTGCATAATACAGTACTTTACCCAGATTACATAATTTTGTCAATGTATTTAGCTAGCATTTTTAACACATGGGTTGGGGTTGCTTGATATACAGATGGTGTTCCAAGAAAGGCTTCATATATATATTTCGTTTTTTTATTCTATAAATTAATGGTGGTTGTAAATTACTTGGTGAGGTTAAGTTAAGCTTCATGGTTTGACTTCAAATGGGAACACTTAATAAGTATTTCATACCATTTCTAAGATAAATGATCTGTTTCTAAATCTAAACAAGTCATTGCTGATTAAGATGTTATAATACAAATCTGTTAAAAGGTTATTTAGTCACATTTGAAATATCTACTGGGGCTGGTTTCAAAGTTGGTTTGTAGTGATGTAAGTCATTTAAACTATAAGTGAACACATCAATTAGCAGTAGAACTGTCACTTTTATATATCAAAAAAGATACATTTGTTGAATCCAAAAAGCTTCTTGATATCACTTCTTTGATGGGTTTTTGTTTGCGATGATTCTTACAGTGTTTTACAGCTTGCTAATTCTTCTCCATTTTGCATTGTCACTGAGAAAACAAAACCATTAAAGGGCCCATGTCATGCTTTTCTGGTTATTACCCGTCCCCTTGTGTGTTAAGAAGGTTTTTCTGCATGTAAACGGTCTGCAGAGTCACAAATCCTCAAAGTACACCCTGTAACGAGTAAAACTCTAACACAGAAAAGACCTGTCTATGCTGCCCCAGAACACCTCGTTGGAGATTTCTCATTTTCTATTGTTTGCTTGCTGGATTCTGTGACGTGTGAACACCCAAATCAATAACAAATGACCGGATGGCCCAAATGGACCAATCCACGTAGCACCTCACACACCAGGATCCTTTGGCTAACTAACAGGGAGTCCCCATTGACTTGCATAGAGCTCCCTGAACGCTGGTAATAGACAAGTTGGGATGGCGGAGAAATGCTCTCCGCAGACCCATTCTCACAGCGTTATAAACCTCTTTCTTACTCAATATCAAGCCACACTTATTGTTTTTACTTCGGCTGTGAGTATTTGTGTGTGCTCAGAATGAGTTTAGCTTGTTCTCGCTGTATCGCCGACCCGGAAACCTGTCCGCTCCTCGCAGCAGCGAGCCTCGCAACGTCCCGACCAATCATAGCACACTGGGCTCACAGGGAGGGGGGGGGGGGGGGCAGGAGCTCCAACAAGCCGTTTAGGACAGAGAGTGAATACACATACTATACAGAGATGCTGTATGAGAAACCAATGTGAGTTTGGAACATTGCAACATTTAAATCTATTCTAGTAGACCTCAACAATGGAAATATGATCAGTAGAAATGTCCATGACATGGGGCCTTTAACTGATAGTTGTACTAGTAGTAGAAATAATGGGTAATTTAAATGTTGTAACTGATAATATGGCAACAATAAATGTCTTTCTGCAATTCTGCGGCTCATGAGTAATGTTTTAATGAAGGAAATCCATCCTGTTTACAGAGCACACTAGCACAGCATTCCTTTCTTGCAGTAGAAACATTGCAGCTCATCTATGAGCATTACACTACTAATGGCATACTAATAACACCATTCAGACTATTAAAAGCTCTCCAGCAGATGAGCAGGATTCAAAATGTTTAACTGGATGAACTCCCACTTCTACAAAACAGTCGACTGTCTTTTGAATAATTACGTTTCCAGGCCTTTGATTTGCCTCTGACTTTAAGAATATGAAGCGATCACCTCTGGCTATGTGATTCAGACTAAAGGACTGCTTTACATTGCCAAAGGGACGACGCTAGCTGCTCCCCCATCACACAAACGGATGTTATTCACAACAATATGCAAAGTGCCAGCACCTGGGACTCTCAAAAGGAAGTAGACTTCAGCATTAAATCACTGGAAAGTCATTATTCAAAGAAGTTCAATATTTTTGTTTTCATAGCACACTAAAATGCATGATTTATCTAAATTGAATAGGTAATATGGTGTTACATATCCTAACCCTGGGCGTGTTATATTTCACATTGGAACAATTTACAATATACATAAGCAGCTGTATGACTGTACTGTGGCTGTGTGAGGGGATGTTTTATGTGCGTGTCTATTGTGTCTGTCTAATGATGAATACAAAGTCTGTGTTGCTCACAGGCACAGCTCTGAAAATGTAGACCTTTTAAATTCAGCCTCGCCTCAGTGTATCTGTGTATCACTTTCCAAAGAGCTGGTCAGTTTTGTCTTGGAGGCACTTGTGTTACAGTAGAGGTGTATTCTGTGATCTAGACATATACAGGGCCATGTTTGAATGAGCCACTTCTTCTGAAGCTGCACCCAGGCAGCTTTAACAATGCTGTAAAGCGTAATGACAGCCCTCTGAACAGCATCATGATCACAGGCAGTAAAACTATGCAGATGGTGGCAGATGATCAGTGCCGTGTGAACAGAATACAAATGACTGCAGTCCGATGGAGTGAACTGTGGATCCCGTTAGGACAAAGGCACAGTAATGGCCGCCTCTGGGATAATACGTAGCCTTCTGCTGAAGCTGCTTTTATGGCCACAAACTTTTCATTTGTGCAAAGTTATTCGCTGAAAGCTGCAATTCTGACAGTTTGCTCATGTTGCCCATTAAATCCCATACGAAGGGTAAGTGTGTTCCCATTGTATGTCCTATATCTGGTAATACAGCTGGATATTTACTGAGGCAATTCGGGTTAAGTACCTTAGATACACAGCGGAGTCCCAGCTGGGATTCCAACCTTCTGGTCACAAGTCTGCTCTTTTAAACATCCCTGCTAATTGGGCTGTGAGGTAGATTTCAGAAACGGTTCAGCAGCTTTCCCTGGTTAGCAGCCCCAGATGCAAAGTTTGATCACTCTGTAACAAGTAAAATGTTGTTATATCATGGTTACAAGAATATGAATGCCTTAAGGGATAATGTGCAGCTAGGCGGTCATTAACAAGAAAATAACAACTGAAAGGGTCATCATAAATCTTGATGCGAGCCCATACCTTGTTCCAATTACTGTTCACTTCCTGTCTGTCTTCTTCTGTTGATTTCTCGTCCGCCGCTCAGTCTTTTAAAGTATTTTTTTTCTCTTGCGCTTGTTTTCCTTTCTTTACTGGCGACATTTTAGCAATTCTATAGCAAAGAAGCCAACGTTTCGTGGTTTCCATGTCTGCCATAGGGATGTCACGAGGAACTGAAACCAGGGTACATAGTCGATGCCGAATTCTGAACGGTAATTGTTTTTACCGTAGGAAGCTTTGCACTTCACCAGTGACCATTTGTCATGTCTTGCCAAATGATTGACTGATCATCAACATTTTTGGTAATTGATTGCAGTTGTTTTAGTGTGTACACGGTGTATAAAACTGAAAATGACCAGGGAGATCTGCTAAATAAAATATATATGTTTCACTTAATATTAAAACAGTAGCCTTATGTTGTTGCAGGCTTCCTAAGACTATGGCCAAGATGGCCTACATGGTGATTTATTTATCTGAATAAGCAGATATTTGTTATTTTATTAACAGATATTAATAGGCTGATATTTATACCAAAATATACTCTACACATCATAATCATTTGGGAAAACTAAGCTATTATTAATGAATAATTGTTTTAATCCGAGCATATCCACAGCACAAATGGAATGATCCTTTATGTGGACTCTGGTTATGGGCCCGTGTTTGTATCACTAAAGTGTATTTGGACTGGAGCTGGTCAGCTGTCGTTCAGTGAATCCAAACAAAAGCACTTGTTCTGTCACATTTTGTCAATGCAATATCCCTGCTGTGATTGGCCACGCTCAGTGTTGGTGTAACAAGCCTTGACAAAAGCATGTGGCAGAAATGGGTCACTCTAGTGTTGTATCATAAATTAAGCAATGACCGATAAATAAAGCTGCTTTCCTTTTCTTCAGGTTTCATTGAAACAGCCATAACAAAACACTTTGCAGTAACTGCTGTATTCAGTCTGCAGACAAGGGGAATTGAATGTAATCATCACAACTCAATAATAGAATATCTGGTTTGGATATTGGTGTATTTGCAGTTAATCATTCATTTGAATGCAAACCATAACTTGATTAATCTGGCATGTAATAATGCCATCGCCCCTTAATATAAAATAGAGAGTCTCCTCTACCTGGGGGGTGCTGCTGGCAAATAAGCTTTGAGGTGTAATTAATGTAACACACAATTTCTCCATCCAGCTTTAACACAACCTCCTGTATTAAAACATGATCTGATTGCTAAATCAT